TATATATATACATATATATATATGTATATATATATATATATTATATATATAAGTATAGCAGTTACTTGAATTTTAGTTAGTGATGAATTTTATGAGTTTTGGTGCGAAGTTAAAAAAGGCGATGAAAGAAAAGGTGTTGTTTTGAGAATTTATATTGCATTGTGTTTGTGAAGACCGTCTCTAATCATTTGTATAATTTCTTACATTAAAATTGTTTAAATGTTACATACTAATCCATTATATACTTTTTAAGACAATAATTATATGTATATTCCTTATTTTTGTCATATATATATGTATAATATATATATATATATAGAGAGAGAGAGAGAGTGTTTGTTTCAAATACAACCCGTTGTATTTGTACAACCAATGCAATCCAATAAATTGATATATTTATGAAAATGATGAGAGTTCATTTATTATGATTTGAATATTTATGAAAGATAAATATGGTTCATTAATTATGATCAATACTTTATATTAGGAAACAATCAAAATTTCTATGAAATCACATATTAATCAAATAAAATGGACGGTTAAGATTGGGTTGTATTGGTTGCACAAATGTCAAGGGTTGTATAATAACCAACCTCTATATATATAGATGATCGATCAAATTCAAATCATCTAATTGTACAAACCGTGCAAACCACCCTCATCTGTCGATTTCATTGTTTAATCTGATTAAAAAAATTCATAAAATTGTTTCATATAATACTTTTTTTGATGAAGTTGTTTTCATATATGGTTATGAAATTGTTTCATATAATACTTAATGAAGTTGTTTCATGTATTTCTCTAAAATTAAAATAATGAGAATGATAATATCCATGATTAACACCCTTCACAATAAAAATGATTAATCAAACTCTCATATTTACATAAAAATGAACAAAAAAAAATTATGTTTGGTTGAATGAGGTTTGTACAAATAACGTGGTTTGCAAAGTAAATATACTATATATATATATATATATATATATATACACACACACACACACACACATACATATATATTGTGTGTGTGTGTGTATGCATGCACGCGTGCAAAGGATCGTTTGAGAAGAGATCAAAGAAAATTATGATGAGAAGCGTAAAAAAAGATCTAAACCCTTGAACATTTTTAATTTCATGTCCACCAATGAATTGCGTTTAAGAAGAGAATTGATCTGGTGCATACTGGTGCAACTTATTAATATTGATTACCAATTGATCCAAGGGTGAATATATTTTCTTACGTTTTTCACTATAACTTCTCTTCTTATCGGAACGCAATTCATATTATATATATATATATATATATATATATATATTCTTTCTCTTATATTTATTAGTCATTTATAAATTTGACCCATATTGTTTTTTGTTACAATGATTTTTATAAATCATAATATTATACAATTTTATGGTAACCATTTGAGAACTTCATATATTATGGTAACCGCGAGAACTTTAATTTTACGGTATTAGTTTTACATGTTTTTTTTCTCATGTAATACTACAATTTAATGTATTGATAAACATATATTTGTTTTATAGTCTCTTTGTTTAATGTGTTTGCGATTCACAATATGGAATTCTTTTATATATTTTGTTTCACAAACAGGATAAAAAAGGGTCACATAGTGAAATAAACACATTATAAAACAAATATATATTAATTAATATTCTAAATCCTAATCTTAAATGAAAAAAAAAAATCATATGAAATTGCATATGATACACTAATTCTTAAGATTATCATAATTTTATAGGTTTTCAAACATATAGTAGTAATATGTCTTATTTTAAATATGTTTGTCCTCTATTTTCACATGTTTTCTTATAATTCTTGAATGTCATTTCACTTTTATGTGAATCTCAAACTTTTCTTGATCCATGATTTCATTTCATTTCAACAAATCAATTTAATCTATTAACAGAGAAGGTTCGTTTATTCATTAATTTCCGCAATCAATTAAAAATGTTATGAATTTTATGTTATTATTTTTCAATATAATGCATTTAATCTATAAAAAATGTCTAAATGATGAAGTATTTTTTGAAATTTTCTTGTCGAGTTGTCTGAAAAATTTGTAGTTACTTTAAAATGTTTTGAAATTGAATTAAAGAAAACCTAAACCTGAAATAATATTTTTGAAGTCCAAAATTTTCTACATAAAAGATACCAAGCCCAAAACTACAACAACTTTGTAAAATGTGGGATGAAGGCCCGAATGCCGCTTAAGGCCCGGATCCAGATAGGGATCGGGCTCATACAAAGCTATGTCATAGACCCTATCTAAATACGTATTCTGAATCTGAAAGTACGTCCTATAAAACAGACATTGAAACAAAATACATTTCATTTTTATATAATTTGGTATTTTCTTAATGGCAAGTTATCAAATAATTGGTTAAGAGATCGGTTATGACCAAATTATTCATGTGATGCTTGAGCTTCGGGCAACAAATCGACTAAATAGGATCAGACCTTAGGGGTTATGGTGCGTTTGGTAAACTAAGGTGTCGTTTGTTTTTTAAGAGATGCTGAAGTCTGAAGTCTGATTTCACTTCTGATTTTTAAGAGGTGCTGCTGAAGTCTGAAATCCAAATCAGTCAGACTGTTTGTTTTTGTAAACTGACAAATGTCTGAAGTCTGAAATCTGAATCAATAGTTTGCTTTTGTAACCAACAAAACATATGAATATGTATAATTTCTGATTTCACTTCTGTTTACGTTCCCAATATTCCTTTAATTCTTCCTTCTCCTCCACATCAAGTCTTCCATCCTCAATCTCCACCCTCATCCCACCACCATCAACCACCGTCCACCACCACTCCTTCTCTAAAATCGAACGCCCAAATCCACCTCTAAAATCGAAGCAAATCTCCATCATGATGAAAACTACAGGGACGAAAATACCTTGATTCACGAGGATAAAGGTGCACAACTACTGGTTTGCACAGGAATGAAAACACACAGTGGCGAAAACCCACAGAGAAGAAAACCCTCTTGATTTGGATCTGATTTGGGTCGATTTGAAGCCACCAGAGGCGATGGAGGGTGAAGTCGATCGATTGAGACGGTAAGGAGGGTGAAGTCGATCGATTGAGAGGGTGAAGTCGATCGAATGATGAAGTAGAAATCGGTTCTCTGGATAGTTTTTAGGATTAAGAGRAAAATAAGTGGCTAKGTTATCACTTAATTTTTAAGAGGAAAATAAGTGATAAGTGGCTCTGAAAGAAAAAGAAAAACAAACAGTCTGAATTGCCTTATGTCTGACCGAATCAGACATAAGTGGTAAAATAAGAGTTTTTTTCAAAAAACAAACACCATCTAAACATGATAGAACATGAATCATTATTCCAAGTTTGATATGTGAAATAGGCATGAACAAAGTTGAACAGACTTGTTTCAGCTATGGAACAAGGTGAAACAAGTCTATATTTTATTACCCTCAATATAAAAGTTAATTTTCTTCTAAAACATCATATACATAACCCTCTATACATTTTGCTCATTTTTTAAATTTTATTTATTATTTTTTAAATTTCAATTCACTGTCCTCAAAATATAATTTTTATACGTTTTCTATATTTTGATTAACTTGTCTAATTTATAAAATATTAATAATAAAAAACAACATAGAACATATATAAAATAAAACGGAAAATTAATAAACTTTATACTTTTCTGTTATTTAAATCGTTTTTACTAGAACTTTTGAATAATATATTTTACAAACAAAGTTTAAAAAAAAGACTCAAATGCCCCTAGATTTTATTATATCATATTTTACAAATTATTATTATTTTACAAATTTTATCATATCTTACGAGCTTCTGGAGTCGAGTATTGTGTAGCTCGACTCGACTCGTTAATATGTCGAGTCGAGCTGAGCTCAAGTTCAAGTCAAGTGTTGACCGAGACAAGCTTAAGTAGCTCACGAGTTGTTTGGTATCAGTTACACCTTATATAGTATATATAGTATGTACCACCAAATGCTAAGCTCACCGAGATTGTATGCATATTCAACCAAGACCATATTAAAATCACTTCAAACAAAAAGTTCCAAATAAATCCCATGAACTTAATTATATTGGCAAAACATATCACGACGACAGCGATCATTTTACCGTATTAGATTGTGCCCTCAATGTCCTCGGATCCAAGTCAAGAATGTATGTATTTTCTTGATAAAAGATGCCATCTTTACTTTACACTTGTTGGCAATGTGTGCTTATTTTCCTTAGATTTTGAAGAATAAGAAACAGAGATGGATTTTGTTCTTACTAGATGTTCCAGAAAATCCATCACCACAGGATCTGTCCAAGGAGCTCCAAAAGGTGCCTCATTGCCTGCAATCCACCCTAAATGCCCACCTTCAGGTGTAACTATCAACATACAGTTTGAGTTCTCCTGAACCAACATCAAGTACCAAAAATGTCAATTTCTTGTTTCTTTTTATCTTGAAATACTTGTTTATGTTAACATACCCTGATATCTTCGCAAGGGATTCCTCTAGCAGGGGCGATGGGGTCATTTGCTGCCTGTAAAATCATGGGTTATGCTTCAGAAACTTTAATAACCATAAAAGTTTACGTCTTTTTTAGTGGTTGGCGAGTATTACCTGGATGCAAAGCAAAGGTGTAGTTACATTCTTTATAGAATCCGAGCTGCTTGATTTTTGGTAGTATTCATCCACCGACTTAAAACCAAAAGAGACTGCAAAATATGCAAATAGTACTGTAAGAAATGGTCTTGCATATCGTCCTGTTTCAATAGGAGAAACATGTGTACCTCGTGTCAATGCTTCATCGAATTCCCTAACGGATTTGCAATTGGCAGCTGCTGGGATGTTATAATCGCCATTAATTTCTTCAAATAGAGGAGCATGTCTACAAATAAAAGTCATAGTAGTGACAATGATGTCATGCTAGATTAAAGAAGGTAGAAAGAGGAAGTCGAACAAAAGAATTAATCGTATTTAAAGATCATGCCAAGCGGAAATGCAACCATGACCATACTGAAAAAGAGGTGCACTTTAGTTTTTGGCAAACTAGTTGATAAGCTAGCTGTTGGCTAATAAGCTAGCCGATAAACTAATCAAGTTTGCAAAGACTAGCTTATCAACAAATGTAAATGCCAAAAAACGTCGTTTATTTTGCTCTTAGAGAGAAAGAACAGTGGAACGGGAAGATGACTCACTTGACTGTAAAACAGTAAAAAACCTACCTTGAGAAGATTCTGCGCAGTGAAGCTGAAAGAGCTCTGTCATAAACTATGTTAAAACCCTTGTGGAAGTCCTCATCAGCAATGACCAAATTAAAAGGATTACACAAAGACACAGCACCAGAAAGGAGACAACTATCAGATTCCTGCAATTACATGTAGAATTGTAAGTGAACCAATGGAGTTATCTGAATAGCAATCTGCTAAATTTTTTGTTACTTTCAAATTTCTAGTCAACTAAATTAACTTTTCACTTGTTTTCTGATCCTAGCTTTGTTTGCTAAGAAGACAGTGCCAAAAATAACAGTTTTATTGAAATCACAGACTAATCGATAAGCAGAATCCAATCCATGGTAGAGAAGCATAGATGAGTATGATGGATGTTGAATGTATTACCTGAGCCAAATACCGAACAAGAATGTTTGCTCCAAGAGACCAACCAGCAGCATATAAATTTGCATCTGGGTATCGAGAGGAAACATGTGCTACTACTTGACCAATATCTCCCAAAAATGATGCCGAATAGAACTGTGAAAAAGATAAAACAAGTTTATTAAATGCACACAACAAACATCCCCTTTTCTTGAAAATAGACTACATAAACCATTTCCTAAATTGCACTCCCTCCATCCCCAAAAAGATACCAACTTTTACATTTTGGGGTGCAAAATAATGCAAGATTCCAATCCAAATTCAGCTTGTACTTGATTTGCAATCATAGAAGGCGGTTGGACATGTAACATTATAAAGAAAGATGCCAAGAAGTTAGCAATGTCATTTGGTTTTGGTCTTTTAAGGTACCAGATAGTGAAAAAGTTGCAGGTTATTAATCAATGTCATTTGATTTTGGTCTTTTAAGGAGTATTTGATTAGTATACTATGGGCCTGTTTGTTAGCAGCTTAATGAACTTAATGGGACTCGCATCTTATTTGGTCCGCTATATATGACTGTTTTCTAGTGGCTTAATGATATAGAAACAGTACGCTTCTAGGGGGAGCTTTATGCAGAAACTTTCTCCGAACACGGCCCTCCAAATTAAAAAACATGCTCCTTCCATCTATGAAATAACCCTCCCGAACAAAAATCATCTCCAACACTATTGACAGATTAATCCACAGAGACAGAGATGACTTTATGCATATGGAAAACCAACAAAACAACCCCTAAATGTTTATTTAAGTATATAATATGCAGAAATATGATGAATGATGTTCCCTGGAAGCATGGAGGAGAGTTGATTTTGATACCTGTGGTGTTGTGACAGGGCTATTACCACAACCACGGCTGTTGAACACCACAACTCGCCACCCCTTTCTTCTTGCTCTCAGCAGCATATGCCTTACGTATGAATCCCCACTTCCACCTGTCAAACCCGGCTGCAACCATCCATTATTATGTGCTATACTTGTTTATTGTATAATTAGACATTCGATTAAAGAAATTCAAAAAGTAATCAATTCGTCTTAATCATGTACGGGGTTTGGGATCTGAAGAGGGGAATAAATTACCAGCAAAATGAGGGTAGGGGAATTGGGGGACAAGCTGCGATCGTCACCGGCGACCCAATCAAGGGCGACGGTGCCGTTATCTTTGGTCCTGAGACACTCACGTCGGAACCTCACATCTGGGACTGATCGGAACTTAGAGGCGAAGATAGTTTCGATGTGGCGATTGGAAGCAACCAGGGGATAGGAATCGTAGGGATGGTCCAGAGTCTTGAAAGCTGGAAGGAATGAATCTAGAGCTCCGCCGCTGACATGGAGAGAAGGGTGAGGTTGGGGGTTGAGAGGAGTGGCAGCCATGGTGGTGTAGCGAGTTACAGTTGTGGAAAAGGGGTTGGTTGTTTGAGAGGAAGCGAGCGGTATATAAGGAGGAAAGAATAGACGGTTGGTAGCAAGGCCGGCAATGGAGACTTTGGCCATGGCTATGTTACCCTACAATCTGGTAGCTCAGGCCAAGCCGCAATCATGGAGTTGATCCATTCCGGTACCTCACTGCGCCATGGGCTCGACCGGTTGAATGGCATTTTTAAGTATGTCTTGCTGCTCTAACCGGAAGACAGGAACCACTTATTTTCATTTTGTTTGAAAAATAATTATTTAATATTAATTATATTTTTTTATTATTGTTATACTACATATATAGATTTTACTTATAAAACTAGTTTCTAATAATCTATACATATTACTCTTAAAAAAAATCATTTAAATAATTAGTTTGGTACTAATCTATACTATATTATAATGCATTTGACTAAAACTCTTAAAAACTCTTAAACTCTTAAAACTCTTAAACCCGTTCATCCCTATCCGATTTCATCCCATAACTGAATTCGTATAACTAACTGCAGATAAACACAATCAAATACAGGATAAACATCTTATTTTAAATATAAAAAATCT